CTCAAATCAATAAAATTTATTGTAATGAGATGAAATTAGGATAAAATCTAGTTATTCCATACAATTCAGCATATATTCCTTTCGTCCCAAAAACAATATCACACTTCACTATTTAAAAATTATGGAAATTTAATTTGTTTGTGCGTTATCATTTATATGTATAACTTATCTTTAATTTCTACATATAATAAATTTAAGGCATAAAATTTTGTACTTTTTTTCAAGAAGATAATTCATTTTATGAGGGAATGAGCAAGTAATGTAATTAGTTCAAATGGTAAAATAAAAGTAAAAATTTAAAAATATAATATGCTTATTGAAAGGCAAACATAGTTCTGAATTTATCAATTTTAGTTCTAATCGGATTCGGATATTATCGGTTTCAGATCTAATCGGTTTCGGATTTTATCGGTTTCGAGTATTATCGGGTTCGGATCTAATCGGTTTCAGGTTTAATCGTTTCGGATATTATCGGTTTCAGATCTAACCGGTTTCGGATTTAAATCAGATATGAATTATTTAATTCGGTTTCGGTTCAATTCGGATCATTTCGGGTTTTCGGTTATAGATCGGATCTTCATTTTTCGGGTCATTCCGGTTTTGGTTTCGGATATTTTGGTTCGGGTAATCGGTTCCGGTTCTGTTTTGCCAGGTCTAACCTTGATATCCTTCCAATGCAAAATGTAGACAAAGTTTCCATTCTAGATCTTGAAAGGAATATGAGTTAATTTGGAACAAATTTTAAGAAAAGTAGAGTTGTATTATTGAAAGTGATGTAAAAGAGAGTAAGATTGTGAGTCACAAAAAAATTTCCAAAACTAGAAAGATGAATCTTTTTGGATGTCAAAAAAAGAAAATTATGTCTTTTTTAATTTGGGACGGAAGGAGTTTCAATTCATAAAAAAATCTATGTCCAAAATGATTTTGACACAAAGCGAAAAACTAAAATTCAAAATAGTACTTTTCAAAAAATTAAAGAAATATATGAAAACTGTTCTCAGACCCTCCACCCTGCCTCTCACCCTCTCAAGTATCATTAAGAAGATTTAATGGTGATTAAGGGAAGAAGACACGGGGTAGCGGTTGGGGTAGAGGTAGTGGTGGACTGGATGGAGGGTTTACGAAGTAAGTTGAGAGAATATCAATCATCAATTTTGCGATAGGAACACTTCAGGTCTCTTTATGAAATGGGTTAACGAACAAAATAGGAGTAAAACATTGATAAAATCCTAAAATAAGATTTGAAAGATAAAACCCCCAAAATAGGAGTTAATCACCCTTAGCCATTAACCATGGGCTGGAACGCAGATATCCCCTCATCTAGATCACAAGCTACATAAGAAATTTCAGAAACATCATTATGGACGGTGACCCCAACAATTCATCACCATCAACTTTGTTACTCCCTTCCAAATGCTAGGACCTAGCAATCTCTGTAGCCATCCTTTTTTGTGCATTTCTTCGTGACCGGTAGTAGTTAACAGCAGCAGCGTCATATCGGCTACACGCCATGACAGGATTAGCTTAGGCGAACTTCACTCGTACTTTATCAATTGTCTTAGATATGCGACCTAGCAGATCTACTTTTTCAGGGTGAGGATGGCCATATGAGAGAATGAAATGAGGGAAGCTGGTGGCGACTGTGATTTTTCCGTTGAAGGAAATCCCCTTTCTAGTGTTTGCAACCCCGTGCAGAGAGCTTCGGAAACCCACTCGAAACCTAGGATGCCGAGGCGGGGAATAACGGCCACCAAGCTAACAAGCCGCTTGATCTTCACATCCAAAGTGAGGCTAGAGATCGACGAGATCTATCACCATCACACTCTACCGCCATCACACTTTGCACCATTATCGACACCACCATCACACTCTGCACAGTCTCCGTCGCAGTGCCACATTGACAACAATGAAGGTATAATTCCAAACATGGCCACATATAATGTCACATATGGTAATATATAATGCCACATATTACCATACAATGTCACATATGGTAATGCACGATGCCACAGATTATCATATATAATGTCACTGTTGCAAATTCAAAATATCAAACAAATGAACACCATCTCGGAGACTCCAGGTTTGTGTCCACCTGCAACCAACACACCAGCATTGCATTTGATTAGTCTCATGTGCTGCCTGTACAAAAAAATACACTCCTACCATCTTCATCTTATATTCTAGATTTGTCTTAGCATGGAATTTGAGAAAAAATGAATCTTTTGTGGCTAGGATTCATTTAGAAACAAAAATATTAAACCAGCACCACTCTCTTTTTCTTTGAAATAGAAGAGAGAGATTCTTTAGAGAGGGACCAAACAAGAACAAAGAGAAAATTGGGTCCGAGTGAGCATAAATAAAGCATTTGAAAAATGAAATCATAAAGGTCTAAGAAGATTTTTTCCGATTGAGTAGTGGGTACATTATTTTTCTTATTTAATTACTCCTATTTAGAGGAGTTTATGTTTGAGCTCCTACTTTGAGGATATAACATATGTTTTACTCCTATTTGGGGGGTTTTCTTTTATGAAATTAGTGTAAGGGAGTGATGGGTATAAATGAGTAATGTCAGATTAGACCCCCTCCATCCCAAAATTAGATTTCTTATACTCCCTCCGTCCTATAATGATCTTCCCAGAGCACTATTCCAACTTCACGGGAATTTATATTTATTTGTGTTTTTTCATGGCCTATATGATAAAATAAAATATTCTTGTCACCACTTGTTTTGTTGAACTTTTGATGTAGTTTTTAAATATGTATGTTTTATTTTTTATTTCTATACCAATATTTAAATAAAATAGATTGAAAAAACTTGGGATTTTTCTTCGTTTTGCGAACCGGGAAGATCATTATAGGACAGAGGGAGTATTATGTAGTACAAAGTTTTAAAAAAACTGAAATTGTATAGTTGAAAGTGATATGAGAAAGATTATAACTCAATGGAAATTTTACAAAATTAGAAAGAGACNNNTTGGGGGGTTTTCTTTTATGAAATTAGTGTAAGGGAGTGATGGGTATAAATGAGTAATGTCAGATTAGACCCCCTCCATCCCAAAATTAGATTTCTTATACTCCCTCCGTCCTATAATGATCTTCCCAGAGCACTATTCCAACTTCACGGGAATTTATATTTATTTGTGTTTTTTCATGGCCTATATGATAAAATAAAATATTCTTGTCACCACTTGTTTTGTTGAACTTTTGATGTAGTTTTTAAATATGTATGTTTTATTTTTTATTTCTATACCAATATTTAAATAAAATAGATTGAAAAAACTTGGGATTTTTCTTCGTTTTGCGAACCGGGAAGATCATTATAGGACAGAGGGAGTATTATGTAGTACAAAGTTTTAAAAAAACTGAAATTGTATAGTTGAAAGTGATATGAGAAAGATTATAACTCAATGGAAATTTTACAAAATTAGAAAGAGACTCCACAAACAAGAAATGAGGACACTTTGTTGTAACGGAGGAAGTACATTTCAATTCATAAAAAATCAAAGTTCAAAATAACTTTGATACGAAGCTAAGAATTAAAACTCAAAAAAGTCCTTTTCATAGAAATAACGGAATAAATGAAAACGTACAGTACTCCAAAAATTAGGCTACTGTCAATTTATTTTTCCTTTTTATTTTAAATTAACAATTTACTGATTTATTTATTTTTGCGAGACACACTTATACAATAGAAGAAAAAGGACTCCAAACAAACCCAAGTGTGAAGACACTCATCCCTTGCCCCACCCCACCCCAAAAAACTTAAACGTAACTAGGCTGGTCAATGAGTAGGGTATAGACCCAAACCCGTTATTTTTTAGCGGGTCTAGGAGTATAAAAAATACTGTTTACTCTAACCCGAACCCAAACACGGGTCAGGTATAGGACGAGAAGTCCCGACTCGTTTAAAACCCGTACCAGTTGTGTGACTTTCAAATCTATTTATATTTATTTCACCACATTAGAGACATGTACATGTTGTTATGCAGTAATATAAAAAATAATTTAAAATTAGCTGTAATTTTATAAAAAAACATTCTTGCAACATCAATGAATGTGACAAGACTGATTATGAATCTAAAATTTTTGTTGTAAATTTTTGGTAAAGAAGGCCAATTTTTGTTGCAATTATGTATTAGCCTTATTTTTATTTGTATTCAATTAAAGTGTTTTTCTTTTATAGTATTTTCACTAATTTTTTTTCAATTATAGAATAATAAAAAGCATCAACTTTTATCATGGGTATACCCAATCCGATACCGAGACCCAAAAGATCCAAATATAGGATTAAACTTCAAGACCCGTCGGGTAAGCGGGTACGTGTCAGGATCAATTTTTTTAAAAATAGGTATGAGTATAGAAAACTATCAACCGGCCTGAACCCAACCCATTGATAGGCCTTAACGTAACCCTCCGTCTGAAAGTATTCCTCATGGATCAAATTTATAAAACATATAAAGTAACATTTATTTTTAAATCTTACACTTATAGCCATAGAAATTTAATTAAAAATAAATTTAATCAAATCACATAACCAGAATTGGAAAAACATTACCAGACTCGATGAGTAAAAAAAAGTATGATAGGATATCATGATATCGATAGATCTCTTGATATGTTAGAACAAGCAGCATATGTAAATGAAAGGTTAGGATTTGCAGATCAAGAATTCATGTACGACCCTTGGGATTTTGAACCCAAGATCTGTGAGCCTCTTTTACGTTCGGCATCTTTTAGCGTCCCACCGGATTTAAGTCCTATCTAATCACCTCTTTCTTCAAGGCCTACCCATTACCGTAAATCACTCGCACCTCTGTATTGGTGCCTCTGCGCTTCGCTACCACACATGCCTAAACCATCGCAATCTAGCTTCTCGTACCATATCCTCAATAGGGGATACATCCACTCGTCCTCAGTTAACCATTTCCCGAATACTATCCAACCTTGTCTGACATGGGTAAAACAAGAGGAATGAAGTAAAATATAAACAAGGATATGAAAAAAACATTAAAATCCCCTATGGAATGCCCCCCACCCCACCCCCACAATCCATCCCATTTTCTTTTTTTGGCATTAATTCCACTGCATTGTGGAAAGGTTTGGACAGAAACCTTTTAAAGTTTGTGGTGGATTATCCCTAAGCTAAGGCAGGAAACTAGCCAAGTTCTGCTTCGGCTCTACACTTTAAAACATCATTTTTTTCTTTAGCTCTTTAATTTCGATCAGTTCCTGCCTTAATTTTTTAATCGTATGGCGTGTTTCAATCGCATGAAACTTGCACTTGGAATGGCAACACACACCTCAAGTATGGCGTGTTTCCATCGCTCATCTGTCAGCTTTTTATCAAATACATGTTGGTACCCCTGCAACATACACACAGATCAATTGGTGGTGAGGCACCACCCAGTAAATCATTATTTCACATACCTAAGGTAGTGCTTTCTCTATGACCAAGGAGAGTGTCCACCATTATATTGACATACATTGCCATGGTGATTCCCCACAGCAGCATTAGATGATTCTGCTTTCTTAGTTTCCTGCTCAGAAGAAAGACGCATAAGTGATTGGCATCACAAAAAATGAGTGATCTTTTTGCGAATTTCTGAATAATTTGTTACCACAAAATTTGAGGTATTGTTGGTAGCATTATGCACACTGGACACACGGTTTCTAGAAGAATATAGATTGAACAAGATAATTCCATTGATCATAGAGACGTGAATATATAGCAAACAGAAGTTGTTAACAGATCCTAAAGTCAAGGCAGGGAGTTGGGGATATATACAACCTAACAACTTGTACAAGATAATACCAAGAATATAAGAATATAATATTAGTTATGAATTATCCGTTATACGCCCCCGCGAGATTGACGATCCGTTACAGACGCCAATATTGGAACAAAACTTGGTAAATTAAGGGGCACCCAAAGCCTTTGTGAGAAGATCAGCAGGTTGCTCAGTAGAGGGTATGTGCCGAACATGCAGCAAACCAGCCGCCACGAGATCACGAACAAAGTAATAATCCATCGCAAGATGCTTCATCCGGGAGTGAAACACCGGATTCTTACAGACATATGTAGCACCCAAGTTATCACAGTAAAGCACCGGCACACCTCAGAAAGGAACACCTAGCTCCGACAGTAGGTGTTGTAGCCATAAAGTCTCAGCCGTGCCATGCGCAAGGGCCCGATACTCGGCTTCCGTAGACGAGCGAGAGACCGTCTTTTGTCGGGTGGATTTCCGAGAAACAGGATTAGACCCAAGATAAACAACATAAGCAGTGGTAGACTTCCCACCATCATGAATTCCTCCCCAATCGGAATCAGAGAAGACAGTGAGACGCAGGGGAACATTGGCCCGAAGAAACAACCCATGAGCAAGACTACCACGTAAGTAACGGAGAATACGCTTAGCCGCTTGCCAATGCGTAATAGTTGGAGCATGCATGTACTGAGACAGCTTATTCACAGCAAAGGACAGATCCGGATGGGTTATAGAAAGATATTGAAGAGAACCAATATGCTTCCGAAACATAGTCGAGTCAGCCTGGGGCGTGCCATCATGAAGGTGCAACTTGACAGTAGGACTAAGAGGAGTGACAGCAGCATTGGCAGAGGCCATGTTATGCTCCTGGAGTATGTTATGAACATACTGACGGGAGTAACCTCCACTCCTAATAAATGATGTAAAGGGCCAAGATCCTTCAGAGAAAACCGATGGGACAGACAGACCACAAAGCAATCCAAAAACCTAGAGTCGTTCCTTGTTAGTACAATGTCATCTACATAAACCAAGAAATAAACCAGCACAGACCCCTTTGAGTAAATAAACAATGAAGCATCAGCTCTGGACTTTTTGAAACCAAAGGCAACCAAAAAAGACAGAAGTTCCAGGTACCATGCCCTAGGGGCCTGTTTGAGGCCATATATAGCCTTGCGAAGTCGACAAATATAGTCAGGATGAGTAGGATCCCGATAACCGGACGGCTGCTCCATATAAGCTTCTTCATGCAAAGTGCCATTGAGAAAAGCATTGTTAACATCGAGTTGGCGTAATAGCCAACTCTGAGATAAAGCAATGGTAAGAACAACCTGAATAGTAACCGGTTTGGTCACCGGGCTAAAGGTGTCAAAGTAGTCCTTACCGGGCTGCTGAAGGAACCCCTTAGCCACCAATCGTGCTTTGTACTTGTCCACACTACCATCAGGCTTACGCTTGAGGCAAAAAACCCATTTGCATTGAATCAGACGGTTAGCGCCTCGAGGGACAAGCTCCCATGTCTGATTATGCATAAGGGCCAAATATTCTGCATCCATACCCGCTCTCCACTTGGGATCAGTCCGTGCCTGCATGTAAGTAAGAGGTTCTGCAACGGCAACATGATTAATAAATTTGTCATTAAAGTAATGGGTGTTCAACTTTTTCTCTTGAAGTGGTCGGGGAGGACGAACAACAGAGGAAGAAGAAGACATGGCGGAGGAGGACTGGGAAGAAGGTGCTGTAGACGGGGACGACGAGGAAGACAGGAGACTGCCGGCCGAAGCCTCAGGGACGTGGGAGCTTGGGGCAGCAGACAAAGGAAAGCTCCTGCCAGTATGGGCGTGGAGACTGACAGAAAAGGAAGAGACGAAGACTGGGAGGTGGAGGGTGACGCCATGGGAGAGAAATGAGGCATAACATAGGGAAATACAGTGGGGACAAATTTTACGTGACGAGAGAGATAAAGTTTCCGAGATTGGAGGTCATAACACTTATAAGCAAATTGGGAAGTAGAGTATCCAAGAAACACACATGGGGTAGACCGCGGGGCAAGTTTAGTAGTATGATAGGGACGTAGCCAGGGATAACACAGACACCCAAAGGGTTTGAAGTTGACATAATTGGGCAACTGGTGAAACAAGACCTCAAACGGAGATCGGTTATGAAGTAAGGGTGTGGGAAGGCGATTAATGAGATACACTGCAGTTTGGAATGCATAGGACCAGAAGGAAAGTGGAAGACCCGAAGTATGAAGCAAAGACATGCCTGTTTAAACAATGTGTCGATGACGACGTTCGGCGGTGCCATTGTGTTCAGGAGTATATGGGGGGTAGTGAAGTGGGAGATCCCATGGTCATTAAACATTGGAACTAATTTAAGAAACTCACCACCATTATCAGAGAAAACAAATTTAATAGAGTGGTGGAAGTAGTTTTCAACCAACCGTTTATATTGAGGAAAAATGTGAAACACATCAAACTTGTGCATAAGTGGATACCACCAAATGTATTTAGTATAATGATCAACAAATATCACATAGTAATGATAACCCTCCAACGAGGCTTGAGAAGTACTCCACACATCGGTGTAAACTAAGTCAAGGGGAGCAGTACTAGTTAAGGTATTAAAAGAGAATGGCAACTTATGGCTTTTATTAATATGACAAGATGAATAATGAAATTCAGCACACGACCCAAACTTAGAAAAGGTATTACAACCACGAAGAATGACACCTAAAGTTTTATTATTTGGATGACCAAGACGATGATGAAGATCAGCTAAGGAGGAGACCGCAACAGAGGTGGCATGAACATAAGGCCTTTGGCGTGCCTGCCGGGAATAAGCACCAATGGAGTAGAGATTAATGTGGTTGACTCCCCGAACCAGTGGAATCCCCGTGTGCACACCCTTGATAACAAAATGAGAGGAAAAGAATTCGATGGAAACAGGATTAGTATGACACAATTGAGAAACAGAAAGGAGATTCTTCTGGAGACTAGGAACACACAACACATTAGACAAGGTAAGTGGCTGAACGGACGTGGGTAAAGAAGAACGACCAGTGTGAGAAATTGTCAAACATTTACTGTTACCAAGACGCACTTCATCTGGTCCGCCATACTAAATAAAGGTGTTCAATGATGAAAGATCATTGGTCACATGATGAGAAGCACCGCTATCAACCAACCATTGTGGAGTTGCCTTGCTGGTGCCACCAGGGGAAATCGTCAAATTGGCAGTGGCTGCTGACAAGGAATTTTCTCCAAAAGAACAATTGTTGTCCTTCAAAAACTGTTGGAGCTTACGACAGAACCGAGTGTCATGGCCAGGATACTCACAGAACCGACAATAACGATTGGAACGATTATTGCTAGTGGAACCATGTGAATTGGAACGACCACCACCACGATTTCCAGCACGACCGTGGAAAGAGCCATGGTGAGAAAAACCACCACGAGATTGGCGTTGAGTGTTGTTGGTAGTGGCTATCAACCCATCTGTCGCAGCCACCCGATCCCGGAGCTCGCATTCACAATCCTGCAAAATTGTCAACAGTTCATCCAAGGAAGCATAAACTCCTCGCCACGTAGCGATTGATAAAGGGATACATAATCATCCCCGAGTTGAGTCATGATGTGCACAACGAGATCATCATCGGAAACAGGGCTACCGACCAAAGCAAGATCTGCAGCAATTTTGGTCATATCTGCAAAGAATGCATCAGTCGAGCGTGTACCACGTGGGTTCTTTGCCAATTTGGCCTTGAGATAAATAATGCGTCCCTTCGACATATTAGCCAGATTAGTGGTCAGACGGGACCAGGCATCACTCGTTGTAGAAGCCAGTGCAATCAGCAGCTGAACCTCTGCCGAACAACTGCCAAGGATGGCACTACGAAGAATAGCGTCTTGGCGGTACCAAAGAGTGTAGGCAGGATTAATTTGTTTGTGCTCTGCATCCGAGAATTGGGAAGGAGCTGATAGGGTTCCATCAATATACCCAATCTTTTGGTGGACCTTCGTCTTCTTCCGGAGATTAACAAAAAGCAACATCATAATATGAGTAACGTCCACCAAAAGATACCAAAGCACATGTTCCCCGTCATATGAACTAACAACCAAACTCAACCCCTACAACAAGAGTACGTACCATAAAGTTGTATATTGCTCTCAAACTAAGAGACGAGAGAAATCATGGTGTGATCCCATGTGGTCAGTTATAGTTACCTCAGAGCCCGCACGAAAGCCTCCCTGTGTAGTGGTCATCACTGACCATTCACAAGTGGACGTACATATTCAGGACCATAGATAGTATCGCCACCGACAATAATCCAACTATCCCCAATTGTTGCACCTGCATGACCCTTCCGTGGCGTGTAGCTATATTCCCATATAACTGCTGGGTCTTGACCATTTCCTCTGTAATGTACAAAAGAGAAACTGTCGAAAATTTTAGGAACAATAACATGTCGAAAATTTGTTAGTAACAAAAGTATAAAGACGTGCTCATTTTGTCTCCAAGAGATTTAAAAACAAATGTAGATATCATACAAAAAAATTATTTTACTAGTCAATTGGTTTTTTTGCTTCATAAAAAAAAATTCTAGAATAAAACTTATTGATGTATCATATATTGATGAATTAATTGATACTAATATGAATGATCATAATAATGTTACAAAATAAAACTATCATAATAATTTTAACTTTAAATTGAATTCAATTGTATCAGATCTAATTAGATCATAAATAATTCTATTAGATATTATGTAGAATTGATACTCCCTCCGCCCCTAAATAAACTTCCTCTTTCGTTTTTTCTTTGTTCCCAAATAAACTTATCTTTTCCCTTAAAAAACCCCTTTTACCCCTTACTTTTTCATACCCTACCTATCACATCATATCTTTTTACTAATAAACTACATATCACATCTTACTTTTACACATCACATCAAGGGTATTTTTGGAAAGTCAACACAAAAATATCCCTCCCTTAAATCCTCAAAAAGTCAAAAATGGAAGTTTATTTAGGGACGGAGGGAGTATTTAATATTAATACAAAATTTTTTTATTAGATTTTTATATCTTGTAAAATATTTTCAAAATATATTTTTATGTAATTAATATACTCCGGAGTACCATATAATTTCTATTTAATTTAAAATTAAATGTTGATCTTAATTAGTTGACTACAAATAGTTAAAATTACACAAAATATTTGAGAAAAATTGTATTAAATAAAAAACATGATATCACAATGTATTGTACTTTTGCATAATTTATAATAAAATTAAAAAAATAACCATTAAAAATTAAATGGAGAAACAATGATTGACGAATGGAGTACTCATATATTTATTGTGCCAAGATATTACTATTGTTACTGATGGATATAATCCACTAGTACCACCCGGCAAGTTCACAAGCGCCCGGGGTACCAAATTCTGACTCCACATGACCTCACCAACCCCGGTAGACTGACCGGGTGAATGTCGGGTGTCAGACATGTGAGATCGTGACTACATTCGCATAATGCTTAAAGTCTAACCAGGCTTGACCTCACCGTCCCCGTTAATCTGCCCGGGTGGATGGCTTGAAGACTGCCCGGGTGGATGGCTTGAAGACTGCCCGGGTGGATGGTTTGAAGCCTGCCCGGGTGGATGACTTGAAGGCTGCCCGGGTGGATGACCTGAAGGCTGCCCGGGTGGATGACCTGAAGACTGCCCGGGTGGATGACCTGAAGACTGCCCGGGTGGATGATCTGAAGACTGCCCGGGTGGATGACCTGAAGACTGGATGGCTTGAAGACTGACCGACCGGAAGAACAGGAACGTCGGGATGTGCTTGACGTGCTTGTTTTTATTATAAATACTCCTAAAAGCCTCATTTGTGAGGCATGCTTTAATTAACCTGCACGGCTTGTATTTGTAATAACTCCTATTATCATTAATAACAAACCGGGTTACAGGTGTTTCCACCTACAACCCTTCCGATCACTTACACTTAGCATTTGCGTGGTAATTTACACCATCAAATTGGCGCCACTCGTGGGACCTCTTTACAAAAAGAAGCCATGACGAACAACAATATGGAATCCATCATTTCCCAAACTTCCACCCCAGCGGAGGGCGTTACCCTTATCCCGGGAGGAATCACATCATTAGCTTCTCTCTTCTCCCCCATGATCACCACCTTCACTACTCAAACAGCCCCGGGTCAGGCCCTTTAAAACTTTGGACAAATTATGCCCATTTTCCAACAACCCGGGGGATTTACTCTTTTCATCCCTGGGATGTATCCCCAAGCTTTGGGCCAAAATACAAATCTTCCCAACACGTTGAGGCATCCCCCGTCGTTTCAACCGGTCAGTACCTCACGGTCGGTCACCTTGACAAATCTAGCCGGGGAGCTGGAAAGGGCAAGCCCTTCTCGGCCTAGGAGGAGCAGATCCCACAAGCTCCACACTCAGGTCATACCCGACGGGGACGTGCGCTCTGTGCGCAGCAGGGATGAAGACTCGGATATTCCCAAAGGTCAGAAAAAGCTGCAGGGAAAAGCCGTCCAGCCGGAAGGTTCACGACGGTCAGTGTTCCAGAGGCTGGGACATGAGGGGCGGAAACAGAATCGACCGGCCAAGGAGCGGTTGGGGGTGAAGGTTCCCAAGCCAGGAAAATTCTATATGCGAGAAGGTGGTAGGCGACCCGGTCAGACCGGGCGCTTTGACCCTCATCTCTGTGATGAGCCCCAACACAGCAGGGTGCCTAGAGCAAAGGGCCAGGCGGAAAACCAGCCCAAAGTTGCAATGCGCAGACATGTTGAACCACCCAGCAACCGGGTGGACATGGAGGAAGAAAGTTTGGAGAGGCTCTTGAAGAGAGTTCGTCGGGAAGAAAAGAAGAAAGTGGTGTTGAACAACCATTTTATCATCTGCCAAGACCGGATATGTACCATCCCAAGGTTCAATAAAGTTGATTTTTTTTCTCAAAAGACATCTCGCAAGACCGGTAAGGAAAGGGTTACAAACCTATCCTCCCGGTGAATGTTCAATCGAATTGAGCATTTTAAAAAAAACCAACTGGTCGAATGGATGAACCGTATCGACACGGTCAAAAAATAACAATTGAACTTTTTCTGAAAAGATGGTAAGACCGGTCGGGGAAGGTTGCAGACCCATCTGCCCGGTCAATGTTCAATCGAATTGAGCATTACAAAACTGCCCGGTCACCATACTTTTTTCAGAAAAGATGGTAAGACCGGTCGGGGAAGATCTTCTACCCGGTCAGTATTCAATCGAATTGAGCATTACAAAACTGCCCGGGCGGAACACCATACTTTTTCAGAAAAGATGGTATGACCGGTCGGGGAAGGTTGCAAACCCGTCCGCCCGGTCAATGTTCAATCGAATTGAACTCAAAAACAATGTGACACAGGCCCGGCCTGGTACGCTGGTCTCACACCAGTCTTGCACATATTAAAAAAAAACTGCGACCTAGTCGAACTGGTACACTGGTCTCACACCGGTCTTGTGCAGGATAAATAAAAAAAATAAAGAAAATATGTGACCTAGTCGAACTGGTACACTGGTCTCACACCAGTATTGCACATATTTTCTAACAAGCCTGAGCCTAATCGAATTGGGTACACCGGTTGCACATCGGTTTCAGCAAAAAAAAGAGCCCGGTCGGACTGGGAACATCGGGCCTACCCCGATCTTTGATATCTTTCCCTGAAGACTTTTCACTTGGGAAAAGTCAGGGTGAACCAACCTACCCAAGATAAATAAAAAAACAAAACTGCCCACCCGATCAAGATTCAGACTCGGGTGAGTGACGGGGTCACGATGGATTCACTTAACTTGGCTCGGAGGACTTTTTCAAGAAAATGTTCCCCCGTTTGCATGGCTGAGGCCTTGAATGGAAAGAATTGATTGCCTTGCTCACTCGGAGGACTAGAGCTCTTATTCACCCGGGTGAAGGAAGAAATGACTCACATGATCAACTTTGAAGCATAGCCCGGGCATGCTCTGTCAAAACCCACCCGGGTGGCGTATTTCCTACTCGGGTAGAAAGAATGGTGAGATGCGTTAGACTGGGTAGATACAGCTCGATTGTGACCAAAGAGATTGTGAGTTCGAACGACTGGGTCAAAATCCTGCAGTCGGTTGCTTAAGATCACGTACAGCCCACGGTGCTTTTGGTACGGACTGGTCCCAAACTCAAAGATCCCAATGTCATCAATCAGTTGCTGAGACACTTGGAAGAACCGGATGCCGACCTCCCGGTCAGAAAGTGCCCAGGCAGCAAACTTCTCCGGTTTCTGCGCAGCCCAAGTAGTGGCGTGAACAGCCTGGTCGGAGCGCTCCCTCTCCAGCTCAGCCATTAGCTGGGCATTCTCCACCTCCAGCTGACCCGTCTGCCCGGCCTTCATCTAGAGCTTCTCATCTGTCAGAGCATCTGACCAGCCGGGTGGCCCACTCCTGCCCGATCCGGGAAGAGGAAACGACGTGATGACTAGGCGGCGGCGTACCAAATTCCCGTAAAAACTTTTCCGCTAACCATTCCCAAGGATTCAAAAATTCAAAATTATTCAGACATTTGATTCCCGCCCTTGATGGTGCCCACATAGCCGAGAATCGGAGGACTCCTTAATGGATATAATCCACTAGTACCACCCGGCAAGTTCACAGGCGCCCGGGGGTACCAAATTCTGACCCCACATGACCTCACCAATCCTGGTAGACTGACCGAGTGCATGTCGGGGGTCAGTCATGTGAGATCGTGACTACATTCGCATAAGGCTTAAAGTATGACCAGGCTTGACCTCACCGTCCCCGTTAATCTGCCCGGGTGGATGGCTTGAGGACTTCCCGGGTGGATGGCTTGAAGACTGCCCGGGTGGATGGTTTGAAGACTGCCCGGGTGGATGACTTGAAGGCTGCCCGGGTGGATGACCTGAAGGCTGCCCGGGTGGATGACCTGAAGACTGCCTGGGTGGATGACCTGAAGACTGCCCGGGTGGATGACCTGAAGACTGGATGGCTCGAAGACCGACCGACCGGAAGAACAGGAACGTCGGGACGTGCTTGACGTGCTTGTTTTTATTATAAATATCCCTAAAAGCCTCATTTGTGAGGCATGCTTTAATTAACCTGCACAGCTTGTATTTGTAATAACTCCTATTATCATTAATAACAAACCGGGTTACAGGTGTTTCCACCTACAACCCTTCCGATCACTTACACTTAGCATTTGCGTGGTAATTTACACCATCAGTTACTATATCCATCCTAAAACTTTCTTTTCATTTTAGCTTATGAAATTTGATACTCGTTATTTTCAATCCAATTTATTTGATTATAATTATAAAACTTAAAAAAATTATTTTTATTTAGTTTACGAGATTTACTAAAAATAAAAAGTTACTTGTGGTTTTTAAAAATAAATATCATAAAAAATAAAAATTATGAGGTTTTAAATTAATAAACTAAGATGGGAAATTTTTTTTAGGATAGATGTTGGAGCAATATTAATATCTTGGCACAATAAATATATGAGTACTCCCTTCGTTCATCGTGTTTCTTTCCTTTTTTTTTATGGTCAATATTTTTTAAACTTTTACAAAAAAGTATAATGAATTGTGAAATAATTTAGATTTAATATATTTATTTTGAAACATCTTTTTAAAATATTAAATTTTTATACTCAATTTATTTCTATCCGAAATTTTGTCTATTTTGCAGTCAAGGCAATCAAATTTTGGGCGGCCCGGTGGACAGTTTGGCATGCTAAGGTGGGCGGGTATGGATAAAGAGTTTAGCCCATCAAATCCAGGCCAGGCCAAGTCCGCCCATGTAAATGGGCTAATAATTTGTATCAAGTCCGGCTCAGATCCTTGTTTGCACACATCTAGTGTTCCCAATCCAGAAGAAGAAGCACAAAAAAAAGGCGAAAGAAAAAGAAGCGGGATGAGTGGGAAGCTTCCTATGCAGTATGGTTGCCACCTAAGCTTCCTATCGCCTATTCGAAGGGAATTTCCGTGGGCACACCCTATAACCTAATAATAAACTTGTTCAATCTTTAAGCTTTGAAAAGAGTTAAATGTTGAAAGAAACAAGATAAAGTTAATTGAATAAAATTAGAAGAAATTGAAAAAATGAAAGGTATTACTCCCTCCATCCTATAATGATCTTCCCGGTTCGCAAAACGAAGAAAAATCCCAAGTTTTTTCAATCTATTTTATTTAAATATTGGTATAGAAATAAAAAATAAAAAACATACATATTTAAAAACTACACCAAAAGTTCAACAAAACAAGTGGTGACAAGAATATTTTATTTTATCATATAGGCAATGAAAAAACACAAATAAATATAAATTCCCGTGAAGTTGAAATAGTGCTCTGGGAAAATCATTATAGGACGGAGGGAGTAGAATAAATCTAAAGAAATTTGAAAATTTTTAAAAATTTATTTTTATGTATTTTACATATTAGAAGTAATTGGAAAAAAACTAGAAAGAATTAGAATTAACTGAAAAGAGTTAAAAGATACAAGAGTTAGAACGAAAAGAGCAGAACCTAAACGTTTACAAACGCTACATGTAATTAGATTGTAGTCCCTTTGTCCTAAAATTAAAATCTCATTTGAGTTTACGAAATTTGATTGATGTTGTTTTTACCTTATTTTTTTGGTTATGAGTGTAAAATTTGAAAGCATAAATAATAATACTATTAAAAATTACATGAAAAAGTTATAAAAAACTAAGATTCATTTTTTCAAATGCATAATGAAAATAGATAAAGTAAGTGAATGAACAAAGTTTTACAATAAAGAGAATAAGTGAAAAGATAATTTTAAGATAGAGAGTAATTTAGCTTATAAATTTAGAAAAAAAGGATATGTACATAATTTTTTGAAAAAACAAAAAGGAGACAAGTACTTGGATAACTATAATTTAAAGTGTGTGTTTTATTTTGAAGGCAGGGATAAGTGTAGTTCTTCGGATAAAATGAACCATTTTTGAGGGGAAAATGCTAAGGGTACACCAAAAGTGTAACTCAAACATCCTCACCCCCTCCATCACCACAAAAAAACAAGAAAAATTCAAAAAAAATAAAAATAAAAATAAAATGAATGATAGAAAAGGGAGTGGTGTACATTTGGGGTACACATTTGGTGTACCCCTAGAATATCCTTTTTTCAAGTCAAACTGGACAAATTTGGAACTTCAATTACTCTCAATTTATATTGGATATTATCATAATGAAATATAATTTTGAAAGTTCTTAATACGATAAATCTAATAAAGTCATTTTTATATTAAAATACATTACGGTTTTTATTTAATTGAATCTCAAAGTTTATCCAATTTGACTCGGAAAGTCAAACTGGATAAATACTTTAGGAAATACAGTAATATCCATCATTTTCCATACGGGTGTCTAGTTTGAATTGGGAAACACCGGATCCGAAAGCGAAAGTCCCCTCACCGCCGCACTCTACCCGAGAGTGAACGGCTTTCAACCTCGATCATACCGTTGCCCAGCACGCACGATAGCCTAACTCCGCCGGCCGCCGCCGCCTCTCTCTCTATGCCTACCTCTCTTCTTCTTCTGCCGAGCAAACTAACTAATTTCTAGCTGCTGCTGCTAGCGAGGTCATCGTCGCTCAGTCCTAAAGCTATGAACCACCCACATGGAGTGTTGATGATGCCAGACGAACAATTGTTCGCTGACCACCGATCACATATCCATACTCCCTACCTACCTGGGTGTTTGACCAAAACAAAATAAAATGGCTTCCCGCCGGCATTTTAAGCCAAAACCCTTTGGTCCGAGGTGCCCTTGCATCGATTGTTACAATTTTTGTACGGATTACAACGGACGCGGAATATGAACGGCCCCGAAAAATAAAAAAAATAAGATTCTGAATTTATAATTTATTCAGAATATTACAAAATAAACAAAGTTGAAAATAAATTTCTATATGAGGACATTAAGCACTGAACAACGAGGACATTATGCACTAGACAGCGAGGACGTTATGCACAGGGCTGCGAGGACATTATGCACTGGACAGCAAGGACATTATGTCCTAGGGCAGAATGCAGCGAGGTCTTTATGAACTGAACCTGCAAAAACAAAACACCGTGGAAGGGCAGCGGAGTCGCCGGAGCTGTCCTTAAGGTAGCAGTGCCTGCCTACCGTACCGGAAAAACGTGGGCACTCTCCTCCCAGGTAGGGGTGGACACGGTACGGTTCCGGTTCCGGAACCGCCGGTTCCGGTACCGCCACCCCGAGTAACCGGAAATGATACCGTGCCGGTCGGTACCGGTTCCGGTTCCCGAACCGGCGGTTCCGGTACCGGACCGGCCGGTTTC